TATACATTACTTACTAAGATCCATAATGTGCCTCAGTAACGTTGCATAAATACCCGTGTGCTTGAACATGTATTATGTGCCTTGTTTAAACTCTTCCGTTTGAGACATGGATGGTGTTTAAGCATTCACTCTGAGAAGTGGAGTGGCCTACGAGTACCTTCACCTAGACCCAAAGATAGTAGAAACCGCGACATACATTTAGGACCCACTGTCACTGGTGGCTGAAATGAAATGTGTTGGCTTTGTGAATTTCTCCAGCGAGCACCTTCATGGATCACGTGAACGGCTTCCCAAATGGTGATTCCTAGTGTCTTCATCTATGGGCAGCAGTTAACAAATCACTGCTTACATGTTGCTTCAAATTCTAAATGTTACTAATCAACTTGTAACTAACAAGAGCTTTCTTTTTTTTTTCCTTTTTTTTTTTTTAATGTTTTTTATTTATTTTTGAGACAGAGACAGAGCATGAGCAGGGGAGGAGCAGAGAGAGAGAAGGAGACACAGAATCCAAAGCAGGATCCAGGCACTGAGCTGTCAGCACAGAGCCTGACACGGGGCTCGAACTCACGGACTGTGAGATCATGACCTGAGCCGCAGTCAGACAGTTAACTGACCGAGCCACCCAGGCGCCCCAAGAAGAGCTTTCAGTTGGTGGTCTCTTCCTGATGACATGTTCTACAATAAATGTGAAAAGTATCAAACTGGCTTTTTGTTACCCAGAGACTGACTTTTCTATATTTTTTTCTATGCAGAATATTTGCTTACCCACAATTTTCCTATAAACCACCAGACTGAACTCTGTCTTTCAAATCAAAGAACAATAAGGGGCAAATAAGGTAGAAGTTAACTAAGATCATTGGGTGTCATAGGTTCATGTATGTACAAGTTTATGAGACGGTAGGTCAGTCAGCGGCTTTGTGAGTTTCGAGAATTGTCCATTAGCCTAGCTAAATTTTCATTACCAAGGAGAGTAAGAAACCATATTTTATGCTGTTCTGAAATAGCAGAAAACCTTTGAAATCTGAGTTAACATAGAATCTGTCTGCATCCTACGTATTTACTCAGGTCCCTGCTGTTGAGACTTTTCAGTGTTTTCTTTTTACATAAATTATTAATAAGTTCTGCATATTCGGAGACAATATCAATGTAAGTAAATTTAAAGGAGTTTTCTACACCTCTTAATATTTTAACTATTTCAATACCCACTTTTCTGTATTCTATTTCTGTTAAGAGGCAGGAATTAGTTTCCTTTTGTATCACAAAAACTAATTTCTTAGATAGATATGGACAGACACAGACATAGTCATAGCTATAGCTATGGATAGGCATTCGTGTATACCTTCAGAATTAAGTATACTTAATTTGAGTCATTTTTTTAAAAGTCGAAACTGTTGGGGCGCCTGGGTGGCGCAGTCGGTTAAACGTCCGACTTCAGTCAGGTCACGATCTCGCGGTCCGTGAGTTCGAGCCCCGCGTCGGGCTCTGGGCTGATGGCTCGGAGCCTGGAGCCTGTTTCCGATTCTGTGTCTCCCTCTCTCTCTGCCCCTCCCCCATTCATGCTCTGTCTCTCTCTGTCCCAAAAATAAATAAATGTTGAAAAAAAAAATTAAAAAAAAAAAGTCGAAACTGTTGAGGTTTTTATTGCTGTTAGGGTATCTTTGAAAGCCACCCTCTTTGTGATAGTTGTTCCTCTGATTCCTCTGCAGGGGCTGAAAATGTCAAGACTTGAGAAGGACTCGTCTCCTCTGTTCCCTTCAGGATGTTTTAATGATTACCATGTGATTACAGATACACTGTTTTCTTTTACTTCTTGAAAGACGTGGGGAGATTAAAGCAAACAGACAACTGACCTCAAATTGCTAAATTAAAGGTAAAAGTTGGCACTTCTTACATAAATAGTATTTTTTGTAACATTACATTTGAATTCTTTAAGAAAGAGCTGCGTTTTCGGGGCGCCTGGGTGGCGCAGTTGGTTAAGCGTCCGACTTCAGCCAGGTCACGATCTCGCGGTCCGTGAGTTCGAGCCCCGCGTCAGGCTCTGGGCTGATGGCTCAGAGCCTGGAGCCTGTTTCCGATTCTGTGTCTCCCTCTCTCTCTGCCCCTCCCCCATTCATGCTCTGTCTCTCTCTGTCCCAAAAATAAATAAATGTTGAAAGAAAGAGCTGCGTTTTCAAAACGTGTCCTTGCAGTGCCTGGCTGGCTCAGTCGGCAGAACATGTGACTCTTGATCTCAGGGTCATGAGTTTGAGCCCCACTTGAGCATGGGGCCTACTTAAACATGTCCTTAAATTGTATGCTTTCATGCCATTGGACATTTATTTTTTTCCAATATGTCAAGAATGTCATTCATACAAAGCCTTATATTATCTTTAATCATAAAATACAACTAGGTTTATTGAATATGAATACATTCTGTAACTTGATGCGTTATAAAATGCTATGCCCTGCTTGTTTGGAAAAAAAAAATCTCCTTTTCAATGTGAGTTTGGCTTATGAATATTGTAACAGTTCTGTTCACATTCAGTGAACTGAGACAACCTTCCTTCTAGTATTTGGAGTCTCTTTCCATGAATTTGTCTTATGAGAATGCATATTCAATGGTTGACTATCTCTGAAGAAAAACTATGGAAATCTCATAACCTTTGTGGGTACTCTGGGCTTTGTTTTTATTTTTCAGTATATACCAGGCAAAAATTTCCGTGGGTTTGCTTTTCAAAGAGAGGTTAAAGAGATGTCACAAGCAGAGTAGATGGTGGTGTCATTTTTCTCACCAGGACGGTTTTGTTTCGATAGATAACGCACATAATAATTATCTTCCTCAATTAACAGCCCATTTAGAATATCGTCACCACTTAGGTTATATACCAATTTGCGTTCTGAATGCTTTAAAGATTTTTTCTAGAACATACTAGAAGTCTTTCACAGTCACTGAATAAATAGTGTTATTTTGTTAAACATCTGAATTTAGGAACTGTAAATCCGGGAATATTCAAATGGTAGAAAGTATTCTTAAGTCCAGGGCCAGTGACAGTAAGAACTTTTGTCGTGCGTGGAGAAATCTTTTCCTACCTCTTTTTTGTGCTTGATAGTAATGACATACGTCTGCTAAGTATAAAATCAGCAAAAGAGGAGTTAGTAGCCAATTAACAGGGTTTTACTGGAGCAAAATATTTCTGGTTTAGGTAAAGATGTAAAAAGTGAAATGGGATCTGGGCTGAAGCCTGGGGAGATAGACTCTATCAAGTGTGTGTTCTGAGCTGTGGGCAACTGATATTCCCATCACATGGGCCCGGAAGTGTGCCTGCTGGAGTACCCCGTACCCACTGCACCTCTCTCAGAGCCTCCATTTTTGTGACTGCAGCCCTCGTAGCAGGAACAAATCAACAGGCTTCAGGGGCATTCACATGTCCTCCTAAGACCATACCCTGTGAACTCCGGATTCCTGCTAAATGAAGACAGGAGTACACAGTAGGATTGTCTTCAGTTCTGTGCATCTCTCGCAGGAGGAGGCTCCCGTGAACTCTGGGCTGGACACCATCCAGAAAGGGATCTGCCTTGCTGTGACATGCCTTGAGTCATCCGCTCCTCTGGCCGGGCCCGTCATTCTGGGTATGATAACCTTAACATTTTAGCTAAAGCCTCTTCTTCACAGGTGATTTAGGGGGGTAGACTTTTTTTATACAGACATATCGAAGAACTCTCCGATTGTGTTGATTAAGTACTTAGACCCCAGAGGCAAATTGCCAAGGTTTAAAATAAGGTGGTAAAGCGTACCACCATGGTGCTTTGGTTTAGTTTCCTAGTAAATAGATCAGGAACGATGAGGACAGTGATAGTGGTAGTAACAGTATAACCTACTTCTCGGGTTGTTTCAAACATTCCCTGACATTATGTAAGGTATTCAGGAACATGGCAAACAGAACATTAGCTGCTACAATACTCCATGTAAAAATAACTTTATTTCGGGGCGCCTGGGTGGCTCAGTCGGTTAAGCGTCCGACTTCAGCCAGGTCACGATCTCGCGGTCCGCGAGTTCGAGCCCCGCGTCGGGCTCTGGGCTGATGGCTCAGAGCCTGGAGCCTGCTTCCGATTCTGTGTTTCCCTCTCTCTCTGCCCCTCCCCTGTTCATGCTGTGTCTTTCTCTGTCTCAAAAATAAATAAACGTTAAACAAAATTAAAAAAAAAAAAACTTTATTTGGACAAAGCAACCAACAGTCCTACTACTGTATTTTTATAGCCCCTCTGAACTAGACGTGCAGTCATCGGAGATCCCAGAGGTTAAAGGTTGGGGCCTCAGACAAGTAAGGGTTTGTCCTCAAGCTCCTTTCTAACCACTACACCAAGAGGCGCCAACACAGGGTGGGGTGGGGGGTCCGAGAGCTCAGAGGAGGCACCCGGTCCAGCCTGTTGACCCAGGGGTTGCGGGGAAGCACCCGGTAGTCTCTCCTTTCTGGGTTGGCGTATTCAGTTGCGCTCTCAAATTACCACAGACTTAAAATGATACAAATGTATTGTCTTAGGACTGTGGAGGTCAGAAATCTGAAATGGGTCTCATTGAACACAAAATCATCATGTGACCGGGACTGTGTTCCCTTTGGAGGCTCTAGGGAGGAATCTGTTTCCTTTTCCCGGTTACAGACCACCCCGATTCTTGGGCTCGTGACCCTTTGCTTCATCTTCAAAGCCAGCAAGAGTAGGTAGGGCCCCTTCTCACATCACACCACATTACCCTTACCTACTCTCAGCCTCCACCTTCCACTTTAAGGACCCTGTTACTACATTGTGTCCACCTGTGTAATCCAGAATAACCTCATTATAAAGTCGGCTTGTTAGCAACCCTAATGCTGTCTGCAACTTAAACTCCCCTTTGACATGAAAGGTAATAGATCCACAGGACCGTAGGACACGGTCATCGTTGGGGATTCTTCATTCTGCTTGCCACTGAAGGCTAACTATCACACTGAGGAATGAAATGGAAGAGGAAGAAAGAAATACATCAGTGGAGATTGAAAATGTTCTTTAATATTCAAGGGTACAGAAAGGAAACATAGCACACACTCTCAAACACACACAGAGGAACTCTACAAAGCAAGGTCTTCCAAGATCAGTGGCTTAAATTTTCTCTCAAAAGTGAGTATTCTCAAAACGCTGCCTTGTTTCTTTTTGTGAGAGAAATGCACACAGGGTACAATAAAAGCAGCTGATCACCAGATTGTTTGCAGAATGAATGGAAATCGAGGGATGATTTCATCTTGGCACAGATTTTATTCACATTTTATTAGCATTAACCCGCACGCCTTTGTCCTTGTACTGTCCATCATTTTTATCAGAAAAAAAGCCCTCAGCTTCCCGGTCATCAATGAAGTCAATCTAAGCAGGATAAAAAAGAGAAAATAATAAGGGGGGGAAAGGCATTTTTGGTTATATTTGAGCTGACCGTACTTCTGGTTTTGTTCGAACATAAAATGGCAAGGTAAAAACAGTGTATAATTCTGGTTTTAAAACAAATCAGGCAGGACATGAAGCAGGTGAGATCCTACTTCATAGATCTGCCACAATTCCTGATTCTAGTCCCGGTTCTTAAATTGTCATTAATATTTGGTGTGCATCTCTTCCAGACACTTCTCATGCATGCTCATGGTCACATTTCACACGATGAAAATATATGATTTTCTACAGCCGGGTGCATGTATCTACCCTATTGGGTCTGAGGTGACAAGTGTTTGATTGGAAGACATTTACATCTTATGATATTTAATGTATCTTTCCAGGAAGAGATGTCTTTGGGCTATTTGAGAATCTCTTTTGTGTACCCCTATTATTGAGTAGAGCTTTAAAGCTTTCTATTCTAGAACGAGACCTTGCCCTGAGACCTATTCTTAGGGCATTGTATTTTTCTTCTTCTCCCTCCTTTTGTTTTTATCGACGGTCTCTTCTTAAAGTGAATTATTGAACTACAGGCATGGAATAGGCATGAACTAACCACACTCCTTCCTTTTGGAAACACAACATCCTTGCATACATTGTTTCCTTGATGGGCTCTCCACTCCAATCGTCTTAACCGGTCTCTTAAATTCTCCATGTTTTTTGCAGTCCTGCCGGTGACATTCTTAGGCTGTTATTCCTATGACAGAACGGGTTTTCAGGAAAGTCTGTTGATGTTTTATCTTTAGTAATCTGTGGAATTTCTGCATCTGTACCCATGTACCACAGAGCTATCCCCAGTGGGGAGGACCCCGTATGAATTCTGGGCCTGACACAGCGGCCACAGCCTAGTTTTCCAACCTCCTGTAGATAATTAACCTCTTTGGGCCACTATTTCCATATCCATAAAAGGGGCCCATAGAAGGGAGAGGAGGTTTTCAAACTCTTTTTTGAGCCCTGCATGAAATAAAAGTAGGGGCAGCCCTAGAATGAAGGTTGGGGTGGGGAAGGGATAAGAGGAAGCTTGCCTACTTTAGTTTGTTCAGATTTAATAGACAAAATTAATATGTTGTCTTGAGCATAATAAAGGATTTGATCCTTAAAGAAAATACTGAATATGGGGCACCTGGGTGTTTCAGGTGGTTGAGCATCTGACTTTCGCTCAGGTCCTGATCTCATGGCTCGTGAATTTGAGCCCTGTGTCGGGCTCTGTGCTTACAGCTCAGAGCCTGGAGCCTGGTTCGGATTCTGTGTCTCTGTCTTGCTCTCTCTTACCCTCCCCCACTCACTCTGTCTCTGTCTCTCTCTCTCTCTCAATAAATACATAAACAAAAATAGTGAGTACTAAAACACACTAGACTAATCTCTACATCAACATCTCTGGGAAGATACTGTAGAATCCTGTTGTGTGGACTAAATATGAAATATCTGTGCAATTTGCCTAAAATTAAATTAAGCCAAATCCTAATTTATTATTTACTTCCATTACAAAAACATGGAAGAATGTATGTGAGGCTCTGCATTTCAGTAGGCCCAACTGCTTTTCATCCGCTATTTGCATTATCAAAAAGCCAATACATTTGAAAGCATTTTATAACTGAGCACATTTTCATCACCGTAAAATTTTTATCTCTTGAAGGAACTCAGGGTTCTTTTTTCCTATCAACTCTTTGCCAATCCACTCTACTTTCCCAAACATGATTAATTTCTCCCGGTCATGGAAATCTACTGGCTCAAAACTCCCACAGCTAGATTTATATATTTATTTTGCAATTACCTTTAGTTGTACTAGACTAGAGATGGTAGAGGACAAATCATAGGTTAATTACCAAGCATACAAGTAGCTGTATCTTTTGGCTATGCATGTGTGTGTGTGTGCGTGTGTGTATGTGTGTGCGCGTGTGTATGTGCGTTCGTTGCCTTGCTGAGGCTATGGTTTGGGAAGTTAATTAATCCCCATGCATCTCTTTTTTTTTTTTCCAGAATCTCTAAAATGCTTCTATGAGAGGTAAATGTTACAGCTTACGTGTTAATCCCTCATCACAGTGCCTAGCACATAGTAAACTGAAACTGGGTGATATCTCTGAATTATGTACCTTCTCCGTCTGCCCAAGCAAGTGCCATCCAGTGCCAAAGTAAAAATATACGTACAAGATTTATTATCGCTATTGAAAGAGAATAAGTTAGAACTGTTTAGGTATTTCTACTTCCTATATTTTCAATGAATTTTTTAAAAAAAATTTGTGAACGTGTACAATCTCATTGTTAAATCATAGACTATGTAATCCAAACAAAATAACATCCATCTGAAGAAGACCATGAAAGCAGATAATACAGTAGGTTTGGAATACTGAAGCAGAGAGAACAAATACAGAGTAATAGGAGCCAAAACACTTGTCTGGCACCCAGAGCAGACCTTGCTACATTGATAGAATCCATCTTTTTAGATACACTGAATTATCTTATGATGGTGTCTGTCCAGAGTGTGTGCTGAGAATAATATCATCCAGAAATGCATAAGGGATGAGTCCTATTTATAACCCCGTTGTCATGTAATGTTATGAAGAGGGGCTCACATATACATAAGGAGGATCAATGAGTTTATTTCCTCTAAATAAAAGTAATAAAGCATAAAAGTAACAAGTAGTAAACTAAAAGATGTTCATACAATGGAAACATCTGTAGGAGAATATTCCTAAAATAAATAGTAGGATGAAGGAAGAAAACCAAAAAATAAATGAGATATTGAGCTTGTTTTTTTCAATCTGTGACTTCAAAGAATAATTTTCACCAAAACAGAGAATAATTATGAAGCAGTGAAGACTCAGTAAAATACATATTAATCAAATACAGAATTTGAATGTGCATATAAATTTATAAGCGGTGTGGAATGAACTTATTTAATATTCAGAGATACAAAGTAAATTCCTAAATATTGCAGTTTTATTTAATTTTCCTCAAGTCCTGAAAACAATTCTTGTAAAATATACTCTGATTTAAATAAATTCAGAGTATAATTTCCTTTAAAGATACATTTTTACAGCACATTTATCTAGTCACTAGATGCTATACTAGGAAAGCGTGAAAACAGCCAGTAAAACTCAAGTAAAATAAATCATATACTCATTTTCAAATATAGCATCCTAGAATATTAGAATGAAAAGCATTTTTAGGGACAAACTGATTGTCTTCCTCAGCCTTGTTTCAATTTTTTATCTTCGTGCTAATATTTTCCCTTTAACCATTTGTATGTTTATCTTCTACGTGAGATGTATATTCTCATAATATCTTTAAAAAAATTTTTTAATGTTTATTTATTTTTGACAGAAAGACAGAACATGAGTGGGGGAGGGGCAGAGAGAGGGAGGCACAGAAACCCAGGCAGGCTCCAGGCTCTGAGCTGTCAGCCCAGATCCCGACGTGGGACTTGAACTCACACACCACAAGATCATGGCCTAAGCTGAAGTCAGACACTTAACTGAGCCACCTGAGCACCCCTAAATCTTTTTATATGTAAGAAAAGGTATGTCTAGAAATCCCTTGAGATTCATTTTATAACAGGATAATACATAGATAAATTACTTTAATGTCTTCTATCCTTCTTTTGCATATAAAAATTAGAAAGATGAACTCACTCAGCCAGGCACATAGTTAGACAATAAGAAATTAGGAGAAGCCCCAAAGGCCAGGGCATCTTTTTTGCAGTTTGTCTCCTGTTTATTTGTACATTTCAGTCAACAGGAAACTGCAGTTCATTCACTATACATAGAATCTTTTCATCTATAAGGTCACAAATAACATATAAAAGTATGCTTTCATACAGAATGTACTACAATATATGCATAAGCTCACGTGCGTGCAAAGATGTAATTTTCAATGAAAAATGCATGCAAATATTATTATATTGGAATCCATTTTGGCTAAATATAGGAAGACACATGTTAGGTAAGGCTGCCACAAACTTAGGAAAATAGAATAAACATCGTAAGTTATGGCCATTGCATTTGAATCAGTACTGAAATGAGTATTGTAACCTATAGTGAAAAATGAATGGAGCTTTCCGTGATGATTTTCCCCAAAGTGTGTTCTTTGGACCATGAGTGTTAGAGCTGGTTCACAGTAAGTGTTTTAGTGGAAAGGGGTACTTTGGCCAAATACATTTATAAACTCTTTGGTTGGACAACATTATCCACTTTCCACTGTTGTGTAAGAGTTCAGGTGCTTCAGGGTACACAAGTGCCCAGTGCATGTCCCAGAGGGAAGGTAGACAGCAATTCTCTGTTCCATTTGACCATGAGACTGTAATGTAAATGAGGATCTCACAAGAGCTGTGTTGCTTGGAAGATGTGTGTAAACTGTTTTACATTATGTTGTCCACACATGTCATTTATTACATGTTATGTGCGATCTGTTCATTTAATTCCATAAGGCTTTAGTGGACATATTTCATACACATGTAGAAGTATAAATATATATAATGGAATGTATATGTGTATATAGTTAAGTACAGTTTCTAGACGGAACCTTAATTTTCCTCTATGGGAACAAATCCTTTGAGTCCAGACTCACCTGAACAATAAAAGTTTAATTTCAACTTGCCCTGTGTATAGGGTAGACATTTCGTAAGGATGAATCAGACCGTAAATGACAGTAAAACATTGCAGGTTATGTCAGGGACTCCTTTTTTATCACTCTGTTTCCTACAAGGTGAAGATTTGTAGGTGTATTAAAGGCGAGTCAGTTGATGACGTGTACTTTGAGGTCTTGATTCACACATCTCAAAAAAACCAGAATATTCTTTTTCAGCATTGTTTCTTATAGGAAGGTCTGTTAGAAAATGAGCGTTCACCTTTAAGGCTGCTGTGCACGGCTTAAAACACTGTAGAAGAGGAGCAGATCTGTGGAGAAAGTATTTTAATGAGCCAACTTCTAGGGATGAGCAAAGTCAGGCAAACTGTCAAAAACGTGCCGCTAAGCTCACTGGGTGGTGTTCTCCAAATGCAAGTCATTCTCTATTTCACTCCTCTGAAAATAATTTAACACCATTGTTCTTGTTTACCTACAGTGATCACCATTTAAAATGTAGCTGAGTAGTTTTTCTTCTTTCCCAGGCTACACTTGGTGAAATTGATCCAACCAGCAGGTTGTGTGTGTGATGACACAAAGAGGAGTCAGAAATCACACACCCCCCAATTAAACAGCTTATTCATGATCAATATATTTGCCATCCATCCCTGTAGTGGCATTGTATCTTCTGTAATTCACACTGTATCACAGACTATTCGTGCGGGCTAATTATAATAAAACATTGAGGTTACTTAAGAGGTGATTTTTTAAAATACTGTTATAGCTGAAGACTCACTAGATTCAGATAAAAAAGACTATTTCGGGGTGTCAATTATAGTAGCCCCCAGTCACGTATGGCTATTTAAGTTTAAATTAAATAAAATCAAATGCTGCTAAATAGCTTCCTAGCTTGGTAGTAATCTTTCTTTGTTCTTTGTAATTTTTTTTTAAATTAATCAGGAAAGAGAGAAGTGCAAGTGGGGAAGAGGTGAAGAGAGAGGGAGAGAAAGAATCCCAAGTGGGCTCCACGCAGTCAGTGCAGAGCCCCATGCGGGGCTTGATCCCACGTCCCGTGAGATCATGACCCGAGCCAAAATCAAGAGTTGGGCACTCAATCAGCTGAGCCACGCAGAA